GGCTAAGCGGACACCCATCCAAGTACTACCCAGACTGAACGAACTTAGCTTGGACGATCGCCGGAGCCGCATACGCTACCCGTATGGCCCGTATGTTTTGTGGGAAAATTTATTTAAAAAATCCCAGAATTTTGCACGCGACGTATACGCAGACATTTCCTGAAGACATCATATCTCGACGTTTCATGACATTCTAAGTCATTTCCAAAGAAAATTAGAGGTTTTGGGCAGCAATTTGTTTTGTCAAGTATATGCTAGACTTAGGGATGTTTCAAGTTTATCTTAGCTCAACATAAAAAATACTTATATATAAAATGATTAAAACAACAATAATCCATTTTATACATAAATTAGTATTTTTATACATTTAGTATTTTCATATATTCAGAATGTAACAGGATTTAGTAGATTTTATTATTGCGGAGACAGCCAAGGTAATTAATTGTAATTTATTAATTTATCAATTGTTCTTATTAGTTTTATATTTAAATAACTTAAAATGGAATCATATGGTGCTCACATGAAATAAATGATTAATCATACTATCCCGCACATTTAATAAATAAAAAACTCAAAAGCAGAGCAATTTTATACTTTCTTTTTTTTTCATATATATTGAAATTAATTCAATGAAATCGATAATTTAAGCTGACCATTAATGGAAAAGTACAGAAATTTAATTATGGTTCCGCTCAACGTTACAATCTATTAATATGGAGAAGTTTTGTACAACGAAGGAATGAAGAAGGCACTCAACGCAATTATTAAATGGTTTCGAACTAGTATATAAACCGACTTCTGGTTATTGGTTATTGATTAAAAAACACGTATTATTATGAAACAGCCTACAGGTTATATTAGGAAATTTAGTGATTTATAAAGTTATCGAATTAATGATAGTTTTCTACAATCGGAATGTACTGAAGATCAATCAACAACACATTCCATCGCTGACTAACCCTGGACTGCAATGAGGATGTGTACACTCTAGTAGAGTAATATGATTATTGCTTCATGTTCATCACTATATATATTTTTACTTCCAAATTCTAAGAAAGATTGAATATCGGTATTATTTGTAACACAGAATGAACTATTACTCGAAATAACCACATTATTATCACCGAGAACGAGACCCTGGAATATAATAGGGAAATGAAACGAGCTCGCTGAAAGCGTGCGAAGTTTGGTTGAAAATCTGTGTCATGTCTCGCTGGACGATAATAATCTCCGCCCGTATATAACCAGCGTTGTCCCCACCCATTTTGAAAATTTTTTTGGTTCTACCATAAAAAAATACCTTTTGTTGTAGTTGACTTATCTTAGGGTTGTGCACGAGACCGTGACTAGTTAGTTGTGTTATTTGGATTTTTGTCATCTTGGGCTGATAAACGCTGAAGAAATAATGTTGTCTCTTGAAAAACCATATCTGCTCTTCTTGTGAAAGCAGAACAATATAACAAAGAGACGAGACTAAAACGAGACGAGACCGAGATGAGACCGATACAAGACTGAGATGAGACATACATTTTTGATAGCGAAACAAGACCGAGAGCGAGACCGAGACCAACATGTTACAAAATGAAACGAGACGATACCGTGTCGACCAATACCGTGGAGGTACCAGTATACGACAGTGTACTAGTATCCGACACTCGAGCATACTTTCCCTGATATTTCCCTTTTTTTTTTCATTTTTCAACTAAAAAAGCACCCTCTTTTATTACTCAATAGGAAGAGAAACGTTTTTTCTATGGTTTAGACAGGGAGTTTTCGCTTCTACGTGTAGAATAACTTTAAAAATAATTTTTTTTGTCCGTCTGCCTCTATGTGAGACCTGCCGTGGTGTTTTCTTAGCTAAACAGGTTAGAGTCCCTGCTTCGTGTGTGATGACAAAAAAGCAAAATGTGAGTAAATATTTCAATTGAATATTTTCGGATACTAGTAGGGTGATGTAAGGGATGCGTAGACAAAGTTAAATTTCTTTAAAACATTCCCAACAAATAAAAATGACGATGTCAGGTATTGGGACACTGGTAAAGCAGTCTGTCCCAGTATCCGAGACGTGTTTTTCCATGATCTAACCTCAATTATATTTTTCCATTGTATCTCGCTTCCTAACGATTATTTGAATGCAAAAATGAAACGAACATCACAATCATCAGTAATTAATTAACCACTCAATTATATATTATAGGAATAAAACAAAAATATCAGGAAAAAAATTCATGGAAGAGGATTTGCAAAAGGCATTGACAGCAAAAGCCCTCCCAAAGAACGTCTATCAAAGAGAGATAAGTGATATGAAAGAAATCGCAAATATTTTAGCTGTTTCAAATTTGAAAAGAATATCAAAGTTATTCTATGTGTTGTTTTGTGATAATTTATCCAATAAATGATCACAATCATCATATCCTGTTAATTATTTGGCAATATGAACCCAACGTACAGTGTCGGCTACTGCGACCTCAGTAGTGACGGATACTGGGACTATGCGATATTTGGGTGTCGGATAGTGGGTCACGCGGCTCCCTGACTTATTTACGTTCATATTTATTCACTGGTGCATTCTTTATACGTTTTTTGCTTCCGAATGGAAGCTTTGTAATCGCAATTTTTTTCGATTCTCTAATTTTGCTTGGATATAACTCAGGGTGATCTGAAACGTCGACATTTGATATTTTTAGCAAATGTATGTATGTATGTGTGTGCGTGTGTGTGTGTGCATGCGCCTTTGTCCAGAAAGTCATCAATAACTCTGAAACTGTCTTTACGAAAAATCTGAAATTTTGGTTCATAATAGGTCCTAATGGGAGACAGACATGTGCAAAATTTCAGCCTGATCGACTAAGTGGTTCCTGAGATATAGCATTTTCTCAAAAATGGTTTTTCACGAATATCTCATCAACGGCTTTATCAATTAAAATTTTTTTTATCCGAAAATCTTTGTTTTGATAATACCTATCTTTTTGTATCAAAACCTAATGAATCCACTACAGAGAATGGTTTTTTTTTCTATTTTTTCACTTTTTTCAAAAAATCGCTTGTATCCACGATAACTCAAAAAATAATTGAGATAAAAACTTCAAACTTTGTATGATTATAGCGCCGTTGGTAACGAAGGCTGGTATTGTCGGTGGGCGAAATCGGCCCAGTAGTTCATGAGATATTTAACTTTATAATCGAAAATTCTTCCTTTAATATCTCAAAAACTACTGGACCAAATGCATTCTGCTTGCTCTCAAAATTTTCGTCTGAGTGGTGGCTATCGATGAAAATCAAAATATAGGTACCATTCAATTGAAAGTTTTCGAGATATTTCAATTTTTCTATTTTTTTGAGATCAGATTCCTATTTTCGACTGTGAAGTGGTTTAGACTTCTATTAACGCTGTCAAATTCATCACTCATATCAGGCTGGTGTCTGGTTATTGAATTATATGGTCCTGATCATGAATGTAACGCGTGGTCGAGACAGGCCCTGAACCGGGCACCCATGTCCGGATCTTATACGGAGATCCTAGCCCCAACCTGATCTGGGGAACTACATCAGGTCCATGTCGAGTTAACTTATACGGTCCTAATTGAGTCATTCCAAATTGTGGCATTCCAAATTTCCAAATTTGAGTCAACTCTGGGTTCGATCCATCACAGAAGTGGAATTGGATTTTGGAATGGAATAACTACAGATCCATTCGGAAGCATACTACCAATGGAATTGGTAGAAATTAAAAACGAGAGAAAGTAGTATCACAAAAAGCGACAGTAAAAAAGCTTCGGTAGAATAGGCTTCTACCTCTGCTTGTTTTTTCATTTTCTTGTTCCTGAAATGTTCAGAATCACTTTCTGTCCATTTCATATAATGTTTTCGCCTTGGATAACGAAATACATACGTTTTACCGTGGGATACTTCTTAGACTGTCGGATACCGGTACCTCCACGGTAGTGAGACCATACCGAGACGATATTGAAATTTTCAATTTTTTCCGAGACCGAACCGAAATTTCTCAATATCTCGTCTCCTCTCGTCTCGCGCGCAGCCCTAGCTCATCTTCTGAACTTCACAATTATGAAATATCTCATTTTTGTAAGTTAGGTTAAACGCAGAAGAACGTTGACACCTCTGATTTTACGTAGTGGTCTCCTTCAAATGAGGCGACTTGGATAGGTACATATGGGCACGTCCACGTGAAGAGCCCACTTTGGGGACGTGAAAGTTGAGCATCGGCGACGTTTTGCATTCTCCGATTATGTGGATAACGTTCCGTACAAAATGATCTCGATAGTGTGGAAAATGACACCGCTATTGAAGTTTCAAGAAATTATTTAACATTGGTTTAAATGGGAGTTACGGTGACAAAAACGTTACTATGTCGTAAACTAGATGCGATAAAGTGGGTCCTTTCCATATATATATATATGTATTATCATCTTCCAACGAGGCACTTCAGTTAATGGCAATCATACATCGCCCGCCTTCGGTGGGCCCGTTCGATTCTTCAAATTTTCTTCTTTCATTGGTTTCATTGGCTCAGGAAATTACCGATCGTAATACAATCTCAGTTGAGGAATAAATAAATTATTATAGCATAACACATTTCTTACTCAATATAAACAGATAAAAGCATAAAATAAGCTGAGGAAGTTCAATTATCAGTTGACGAGTATATGTCGCACAGTCGGTACAAATACCAATCAGCATATAGGTGGAATCAATTCGAACTCAATTGTGTGATGTTAATGCTGTCAATTCTATAGATGTCATATTTCCATGAATTAGCTTTATCTTAACCGCCTTTAATCATCAAGTTGTTTTCGTTGATGATCTTGCAAAGAATATACCCTGAAGGCTAATAAATTCCGACCAATAGAATTGTGACTTTTCCGTATCTCTACCATATGCATATGTGTGCAAGCCAAACAGTTCAAGTTTTTGTTACGTAAAGTTGATTTCATTTATATGGCGATGAATCTCGGAATCATAGGCAGTTGTGTCTTATCTCTCAAGCAGGTGATATGAGAGCATCTCTTCTCCTCGTGCAAATTCTGTACGTCTGCAGGTAGGAGGTCGAAATTTAATGCACATGGAGAAAAAAGTTGGAAAAAATTTACCGAACAAGTCAAGTAATCGTGGAGTGAGTTCGATTTTGAGCCCCTAAGGTGCCGAAGCTGTAAATTTACGCTGCATTCCATCACAAATATTACATACAAAAATAGGTATTTTTTCATTGAATTACATTTTGGTCCACGATTACATTTCGTACGGTGAAATTTGGCACGATTTTCTAGGTAATTTTTATACAACTTTTGTCTCAGTGCACGGGTTAACAAAATGTTTGGGCTGGCTATGAATTAAAAAAATTTCTGAATTGTGAACCGAGTGATTGTCCCAGGTAGGAAATACCAGTGTTGTAAAAACGGGTCAAACGTGACATAAGTCTGGGCTTGCCGAGCCTTGGCGCCCAAGTTTGGTCCAAGGTTCGACCATCTTTGGTGACCAGGGCTTGAGCGTCGGGAGAAGGGACGAGTAACCGAGCCTTGGTTGATAGATCTGGACCAACCTTAGGTTGAATATCAGTATGCCGGAGTTCGATAACCAAGCCCAAGCCAGCGGTGGTCTGGAGGTTGGTCATTGGGCTCCAGAAATTGGTGTAATTGTGAGGATTGAGTCGTAAGAGTGAGATGATGCAAGTAAAATCATAGGGGTGAAATTATAAGGATGAGAACTGAACAATAATTTTGCCAGAGTTAAATCGTCATAATAGAAAGGGGCGAGAAAATCATACGGGTAACATCGTGAGAGTCGAATGGTGGGCATAGATTCTTAGCGGTGAATATTCAAAGGCTTTTCAAAGGCTAGGTGGTTTATTAAGGATAAAATGGCCAAGGTGGCATTGTAGGCTTTGAAATCAGATATTATTCGGTAATTATCACGAAAAAATGAACAATCATCATTAACAATCAATCATCATTGTTATAATTATCATTAGGATTATTCATTATTGAATTAATTTACCGATTAAGCTATAGTTGAATCCCTTAATATCTCTATGAACTGAGTAACAAAACGTTCATGTCGAAAAAAACCAAGGTGGAATTAATAGGGACGATTTGAAGTAGAGATTTTACGAATTGCGCGGTAGGCTAGTGGTTAGAGCGTCGGATTAGTAATTGCTAGGTCGTGGGTTCAAGCCCAAGTCAGGATAATATTTGAAGGTAACAAAATCGGTCTTTCAGCGATGATTGCATCATGTTTTGATAGGTAGGGCACAATCAATCATAAAAATCATCCTAAGAAGTGTTAATTATTTTGCTTTTGTTATTATTAATAATTATTGTGAATAGTTTAGTATCCAGCCCCGTGTCAGTGGCATGCCAGTAGTGATTTTATTTTCCTCCTTGAAGCTGTCACGAATGCTCAGAAGTAATATTGAATAACTTGTATTTCAATCACTCATATCATATTCATATAATTAAGTAATGTTTAATCGAGCCTGGCCAAAAATTTACAACTAACGGTGGGCCGAGATCCGCGCGCAAACCTGGTCCCACGTTATCATTCCAGATTTCAACCAAGTCCGGCGCGGTCCTTGCCGACGGGATTGGACCGAGCCCGACTCGTTGGTTTTTTCCTACCTGGGGTATCAAATGAAAATCACTTTGCGCCACTATCGACGATGCATTTTTGGAATTTAGATATGTCTCGGCACAAGATGAGGATTATCTAGAACTTCCAGAAGGATTTTCTATTGGTGCAGCAACCGCTGCTTTCCAGATTGAAGGTGCATGGAACACTGGCGGCAAATCGGAAAATGTATGGGATTATCGAATACATAATAATATATCATTGAGTGTGGATAATGGAACCGGCGATGTATCGTGTGACTCTTATCACAAGTATAAGGAAGATGTTCAATTGGTCAAAAATATTGGGGTGAGTATTCCCATAGTACCGTAGGAAAATATAAGAATGACTGTAAGTCTGAAAATTAATTGTCTTCATCTGCATAGTAGTAGATTGAGTTGGAAGTTAAAAGGTATTTTAAGAGGCAATCTGTTTTGCCAATGTTCTCCGCCGGTCGGAAATCTTTCAGAAAATTCGAAGAATCTGTCCCAGATAGATATCAGGTATTTGTTCCGGTGTAACTTGTCTGAGACGGATGCTTGTGATATTGCGAAGACCCCCGCGAAGACCGTCACAGCCAGAGAAGTATGTTCATGAATCAAACATTCGTCCGAAGTAGATCCTTGGGTTTATTTTGGAACCAAATCTATCCGGACAGATTTTACATTTCAGGATGAACTTAGAAAAAACAGCATTTTTTTAAAGTAAGTGAAAATTCAATTGCGACTCATAATTTTATGAACTATCAATGAATAGTGATGTAGTCTCATGTTTTTTTCCGTCAACTGAAACGTTTTCCGAGCGAAAATTTTTCTCTGTTCGCCAGAATTCAAATTAGTTTTAGATTCAATGCTGATCAGAATTTCTTGATTGCTTTGAAACAGCATCTGATATGATTTTAACTGATCAGTGAGATCTAATATGGTGAAGGGAAGTTCGATCCTATTCAGATTAGTCAAATCCGGACTGGGTCCGCATCAACGCGGGTAATGATCAAAAAGATCGGATCCTACCATTTCGATCATGCATGGATCTAAACAAGCGTAACATTTCTAATCCAAAACTCATTATCAAAGTCAGTTTTCACGTATCAGTCTCTTATTCTAGCCTGATTGGAATTTCTATTTGGGGTCTCGAGTAGAAATTTATCTCAGTTTCCCTGAGTCTCGTTCAGATCCGATTGCAATCAGGATTTCTTGATTAGAGTTTCAGATCAGGATCTGATAAGATTCTGCGTAAAGTGTTTGGATTCAATTTTATAAATCAATAAAAGCGCGACTGGATCCGCATCAGATCTGGTGCTGATGAGAAAGATCAGATCCTAGCATTTTGATCAGGAATTCTGTTCCAAAATTGATCAAAATCAGTTTCTGCGTATCAGTCTCGTATTCTAGTCTGATGTGAGTGTTCACTCGGGTTGTTAACTGTACTGAGAAAAATCCGACGTTGGTTCAAGGATGCGATGCTTAATTCAAGGCATTGCTCCCACAAATGGGTTCAGAGGCGTGCGACTTTGATTTCAAAGAATTCTGAAAAAAATGATTCTTGAATTAAAGTCAAGAAAATTTGCACTTCTAAGACCTACGAGTCTTGGATTCTTTCCCTGAAAAATTACAAGAAGATAAAAAAAACAACTGAGCCTAGGATTGAATGGAGTTGAGGGTCGAAGGTTCGGAGACCTCTGCCAGGAAATTTCTAGTAATACTAAGAGCTATATTACTAGCCACAAACATGGGAGAATTGTTTTTTCGTTTGATGTTGAAATTCTGTCGTTGAATGATTCCATTGGATAAATTATAATGAACAGGTTTGATTTACCACGTCGTTCAAAGGATTGTTATGGTGATTCTTCAGGAAGTTTCAGTGATTCTGGACGTCTCAAAGGAGTCGAATACCCAATTGAGTCATTTCGGAAATCCTCAATATGCATTTACAGATCTAAAGTGCAGAGTGGTGGAACTTGTACATTATAATTTATCTAATGGAATCAGTTCACCACAGACGTAAAATATCTATCCCTCAACATCAAACGAAAAAAACAATTCTCCTGTACTCATAGCCGGTCGTACAGCTAAGAGCACAGGGTTTCACCAGAGAATCCCTGCAGGTGGTCTCCGAACCTTCTGCTCTCGTGCCCAATCAATCCTAGGCTACGATTTTTTTTTTTCAATTTCTCATAACTCCTATTTGTTTCATTTTTATCCATTTCGGGGAATATTCCACTGGAATTCTAAAGAATTTTTTTCTAATTCCTTCTGTGGGAACTTCATTTATATGGGATGCTTGCGATTCATTGACCTCAGGCATTGAAACTGCCTAAGCCTTCAATTTGGATGGATAGAAATCAAAGACGTGCGGAATTTCGAATCAAAGATTGCTGCTCTTAAATGATTTCCGTCAACGTTCCAACAAATTCTGGTGCCATTGAATCAAGGACGCGCCTTTTTGATGGCATGAAATACGACTAAAAAGACGATAAACTGACGGTGACATCGTTGATTGAGGGCGTGACTTTAAAACAAGTCGCCGCTTTTGAATTTTTTTCAATGTCAAGCGCACTTTCGAAATCGAGAATGGATTTTTCTCAGCTTTTTAAGGAATATGGATATTCCATGCCAACTCGAGCAACCCGTGACTGCGACTGCTTAGATTCTGTTCGCAAATTCTATATGGTTTCTCGACCTCAAAAGGACACCCAATTTTTTTTCATTTTTCCCATCAGCGGTCAACTTTATATTCAACCTGAAAGCTAAAAAAGCGCCGGGCGTTCAAAATCTGGAAAAATTCACAACAGAAAAAAAACGATGACAATTTTTTAAAGTCAATTTCATGATGGATAATTCGATCGGTAGCTCATTCGCTAGTAGCACTCGAATGGTCACTAAATTTTTTTTTTTTAATTCGTATTATATTATTTTCGAATTGCTGCATCCTAATCCGATTATAGTTTCCGTCAATTATGATTATATAACTGTTCAAATCAATTTTCTGTCAAAAGAGCTGGCGATCTGGAAAAAAGTTGCCTACAAAAAATATTCCATGAAAGAAATTGCAAAATTTTTGTATTTTTACGTTTTCTCGTATATCCATTATTTACCGAGATGTTTGAATATTCATGAGGAACAAAGATGGAGCGTTTATTGCCACGACGTAATTGAATCTATGTGAGCTTTTTCTATAACGATTTTATCCAAATATAATAAAATCAGTTTTAGTTCAAAGCAGATATGTAATTTCACCAAAGAACACTCAACACCTTAATAAAATTTCCCTGTTAGTATCCAATCAATCTGAGCGTAACAAACAAGGTTTATGCGGCACGGTATGGTAGGCTGGGTTTCAGCTAGGCATGGCCACTCGTAGCACAACGTAACGTTGAGTGATGGGCAATCTCGGAGAACGGTCAAGTAAAGGAGGGTCAAACGGAGTTGGGTTAAATTAAGACGGGTCAAACGGAGATGGATCAAACCGAGATAGATCAAACGGAAGAGGAATGTAACCAGAATGGAAACGCATCCGTGTAACCAATCAGATTGGATGACTTTCTTGTCAATTTTATTTGCACCATTTTGATTTGCACCATTTATACGGATGCATTCCCGTTCGAGTTACATTCTTCTTTCGTTTGACCCTTCTCCATTTGACCCATCTCTGTTTGACCGATCACCGTCTGATCCATCACCGTTTGACCGTTCTGCGTTCGATCCATCTCCGGTTGACCCTTCTTTCAGGGATCGATAAATACGAGGGTTGGAACGCAAGTGCAGCACCAGAACCCCAGCAGCGCGACGCTGAGCTTGAGGCTGAATTACCTGGTCTGAAATCGACCCCGTTGAGATGCCGGGAATGAGGTTTCGCTCATAACGATCTGGCTGGGTCCCAATCAGAGCCCAGGTTAAATTTTTACTATGGCAAGCCTGATATTGCTGAAACCATCATTGAAAGTCAGAAGATGACATGAAATTGCTAGAGCAAGACATGACTAAAGCTACCAAGACATGGATGAAGAATTGGAGATGTTCGTTTACTTTCACACTCTGTTCAGATATGTGCCTGTTGCATAATATACAATCAAGAGTTGAGCATGTATAACCGGGTACATATAGGCAAACTAACGCTATCTATTCGGGGTTTGATACCAAATTGGCGTGAGAAATCCTCCTATGTACAAAACATATGCAAAAAAATAACGTGCATATAGAGATCTTGAGATACGCAACATCTACAGAAATCCTCCACCCACATCATTCCGCATAAATATTCAAATATCTCCGTAAATAATGGAGCCTTTTTTCCATATCTTTAGTCGTTTTGGTGAAAAATCAATTTAAACAGTTATAAACTCATAATTGACTTAAACTATCATTGGATCCGGATGCAGGGACCCAAAAAACATGTCTACATCTTAACAACAGGCAACCGTATCAACATAGGGAACCGATAGCACTCACGCTTGTCTGTTATTAAGGTGTTGATATAATTCCAATGAATAAAAAACATTGAGAACATGCGAGTGCTACTAGCAAATAAGCTACCTATTGAATTCTTCATCTTGGATTTTTTTTACGGTCTTCGAGTCACTATTTTGTAAATTTTTTCATATTTTTAGCACGAGGCTTTTCAAGTTTTCAGGTTGAATAAAAAATTAAGCACCGGTAGGAAAAATCTAACAAAAATTGAGAGTGTCTTTTTAAGGTAGATAAACCATATAAGAAATTGCATACCGAATGTGAGGGGTCGAAATCACGGTCTACTCGAATTGGCATGGAATACCCCATATTCATTTAGTCATATTCAAGTCTATCATTCGCTAATAGTTAACCAAGTTTTTTAACAATAAATGAATTGTTCCAGCAGTGCATGCTCATTGTATTTGTTCACTTCACAGTTGAATCATTATCGATTCTCCATAAGTTGGTCACGAGTGTTACCAACTGGTTCATCAGATGAAATCAACAAAGACGGAATTCAGTATTATAAAAATCTTCTTGATGAATGCTGGAGCAATGGAGTCACACCTTTCGTGACACTCCATCATTTTGATGATGTACAATCACTCATTGAGAAAACAGGAGGATGGTCTAATGAATCGATGGTTGAATATTTTGCCGATTACGCGAGAGTTATATTCAAAGAGCTTGGATCTAGAGTGAAATTCTGGAGTACAATCAATGAATCTGATGTTTTCTGCAAAGTGTGTGCTTATCTAAATGAGAGTGTCATCAATACAGGTAAATACAGTTACCCAAAAAATATAGGGATACATAGTTGTACATCCAAAAAAATACTAAAATGAAGTCAAGAATTCATGGTTAACAGAATTGAATTAGAAGGATGATTTAGGAAGTTTTTTTTTGTGTATGCGCAGATTATAATTCTTTGCGGAAAAAAATAAGTTCGAATCAATCAAATATTAGTCAAATTGTTGGAGAACGGATTTCCATGTTGAAATGAATATTGATTGATAGTTTTTCCGGAAATACTGAATTTGAACGACCACGTTACATATAAATTATAAATATTTATAATATTGGGTCTTTGTGGGGTTGGGTGCGCCCCCGTTGCGAATCCTGGGTAATGCTAAATTTACTGGTAGAACTTGATATTCATACCATATCATGCACTTTTGAATTTAATTAAAAATACTTCAATAATTTTATTTTTTTCTATTACAACCGCTTTTGAAGGGATGACGGGTAGTGCTGTTGAGATCACTCGCACATCGATGTCAACAACCATAATATAATGTGAGATGTCCCAAAGAGGTTTAAATTCAATAATAGCAGCTCAGTAAAATTATTGAAATTGAATTAATCATGAAAATTAATTTGCGATGTGGTTACGTAATTACCGTTAATATTACCGTTTTTCTCTTGCCAAACTCTAGTTCAGTATTCTCAGTATCGATGAATTACCAAAAAATTCTACAATGATAGTGTTCCCTGATGGTTTTCTTGGGAAATTCGGTGAATCGAAAATATCGCTGTTTCAAATTATTAGGTATATTTTCTTCCGCGTTGAACCAATTTGTTCTCAATCAAACTCAATGTTGATCTCTTTTAATATATTCACAAATACAGCCTACAGGAATCGTTATCTTTGCGCACATAATGTGCTGAAAGCTCATGCCCGCGCTTATCATATATATGATGAAGAATTTCGGACTATTCAAAAAGGCAAAATTGGATTAGTCACTAATAGTGGATATTATTTCCCAAAATCGGAGAGGGACACAGAAAGTGTCGACCTTGCATTTGACTTTGAAGCAGGATGGATATTGAATCCTATATTCTCTAAGAATGGAGATTATCCAGAGGTGATGAAGACGAGAATCGCAGAGAATAGTAAAGCGGAAGGATTGACGCATTCCCGGTTACCAGAATTCTCCCGTGAATGGATTGATTATATAAAGTAAATTAAGAAAATCAACACGATCTTTGTATGTAAAACTATTGAAATTGATCTTGAAAATACATAAAGTGTCATTTCAGAGGAACTTATGACTACTTGGGTATCAACCATTACATCCCGGCCATGGTTGAACCAGCGAATAAGACTGCTGAGGGAAGATGGTATAATGATGTAGGTGTCATCTACACGAATCATTCTGAATGGAAACTGACAGCAATGGGATGGGGAGTAAGCACACAGACAAATCTATTGTCAACGATAGCATGTCTACATATTAATACCAAAATTTCTCTGGTTGCAAAATCTCATCCATTTTTCCTTACGGCTGCAAAAAGTTCAATCTTTAAATAACAATAAGTTCATTTATAAGGACAAAATCGATCTAATTTCTCTCCCCCCACGCATAGGTGGTTCCCAAAGCTATCGGACGGCTCTTGCGGAAGATAACGAACACTTTCAATAAACCTACAATCTATATTATGGAAAATGGTGTAAGTTTTCGGTCAGGTGTCATAGATATTGACAGAGTTGAATATTTGTACTCATACTTGAAGGAAGTATTATTAGCCATTCGTGACGGATGTGATGTCAGAGTGTATACTGTTTGGAGTCTGCTAGATAATTTCCAGTGGTTTGATGGATATACGTGAGTTGAGCTAAATCTGTTGCAGAACATATTTGATATCCATTCATATTTGTATATTTCCCCTATTTCCAGGCAAACTTTTGGACTTATTTCCGTGGATTTTAAAGATCCTAACCGAACGAGAACTCCTAAACTTTCTAGTTATTGGTTGAGGACTATCATACAGAAGAAGAAATTGATTCCATTCAACAAAACCATGTTAAATATGTTGAAATTAGAGTGAGTATTCTACTTGGTTTGCTTGGTTCTCTTCATCTCGGATGTCTGCGTCTTTTCTCAGTATTCAATGCTATCTGGATCGTGTATCGAGATATGCGGCAGCGTATCGGACCAGGAAAATTGTTGACTCCGACTATCCAACACCTCAGGCCGAGCGCTGCCGGATATCTATACACGAAGAAACTAGTCCCTCCACTCACTCCAGATCACGCCTATTATGGTGTGTGCATATGACTCCGCCCTTTCCCAACAGATGTCGTTTTTAGTATTGCTTACGTGCACTAATAAATGGCAACACTTGTATTCGATAGTACTTTACGTCACATTTGGTTGAAGTGTAAGCTACAAGAGTTTTTACCTCCGGGACAATGTCGGTTTTCGTTCCAAGTAAACATCATTTGCGGGAAGTATTATTACAGTATTATATTGCAAAGANATGTCAGCTGTCAAACGCACTACGTGACATTTGGTTGAAATGTAAGCAACAAGTGTTTTTACCTCCGTGACAATGTCGGCTTTCGTTCCAAGTAAACGTCATTTGCGGGAAGTGTTACTACACTATTATATTACAAAGAAAAGTATAGCGAAAACTCATCGTTTACTTGTGGAGATTTACGGTGAGCATGCTCCATCTAATACAACTTGCAAGGAATGGTTTCGACGATTTCAAAATAATGATTTTGGCACTGAGGATAGAGAACATGGAAAACCACAAAAAAAATTTGGAGATGCTGAATTGGAGGCATTATTGGCAGAGGATTCTTGCCAAACTCAATCAAAATTGGCTGCAGCATTAAATGTTGAAAGATCAACTGTTGCAAAGCGTTCAAAAGCAATGGGAATGGTTCAAAAAGTTGGTAACTGGGTTCCATATGAATTGAAAGAAACAGACATGGAACGTCGAAAAACAATTTGTGAAATGCTACTTCAAAGACAGCAAAGAAAAGGATTTTTGCATCAAAGAGTCACAGGAAATGAAAAATGGATATATTATGAGAATTCTAAACGCCAAAAAGCTTATGTGAAGCCAGGTGAACCCGGCCCATCCCAGCCAAAAAGAAATATTCACAGTGCCAAGGTTATGCTCTGCATTTGGTGGGATCACAGAGGTGTTGTATATTATGAGTTACTCGAACCCTCTCAAAGCCATAGAAGAAAAACGACCAGAATGGATGAATAGGCACAGTAAATTAATTATTCAACATGACAATGCCAAACCGCATACCGCCCAGGTTATGAAAAGATATTTAGATGCACAGGATTGGGAAGTGCTACTCCACCCGCCACATTCGCCAGACATAGCTCCTTCGGATTACCACTTATTCCGAACACTGCAGTCAGATCTTACGGGAGAACGGTTCACTTCATACGAAGGTATCAAAATTTGGCTTGATAATTGGATCAGCTCAAATGACCAGGATTTCTTCAGGCAAGAAATACGTTAATTACCTGAAAGATGGGCGACGGTTGTAGCTGCAGAGCATACTTTCAATAAACTTTTCTTCAATTTTTTAATCAAGCAAATGTGTTTTATTTGAACAAAAAAAAGCGGAGTCATATTCACACACCAAAATAAAAACGAGGCAAGTTACATGGAAAATACACTTAGTTACATCATATAAATCGCTCACACGCTTTTTATTGATGTGCACACTGTTTTGTTCAAGTCAATATTTAAAAAGTTACGCGCATAGCAACGAGTTCCTATCCTCATTTTTGCATTTCACATTATCTCAGTCCTAAGTGTGAGTTTTGGATTTCGACGTTGGTAGCAGTATAAACCAGCCTGATGCGCAAAGAAGAGAGAGAGAATCAGTATGTTATTCTTGATCTCTTCTCCTTGTACTCTACCCATTTTGTTATTCGACTCATTTGTTTATTGTAAACGCAAAATCATCATGATAAGTGAGGTGATATACAAGGGTATTTTGCTCTATGCAAGAAAATTCGACCCTGTTTTCACAGAATTACTGTTATTAATTAAATTCATGAATTACATGTGGGCAAGTATATTTTCGGGGTTTGTTTACGTGTGAAATTTTAATAAGTTCGACTTCCATCAGAAATTTACATATTGATTTTAGTGTATAAAAATGATAAATTTAGGCGAAATTTTGCAATTGGAGTCAATGCATGAATAGATTATCAGAATCTATGTAACTAAAATTTACCAAAAGTACAAACATGAAAAATAGCATGACAGAAATAGTTTGCTTTCTGTGAAAAAAATACGTCAAATTTGATTTCAACAAACTAAATTCGATAAACACAAAATTGATTATTTCCTGGGTTTGCAAAAATTAATGAAATCTTCCTAAATAACACTGTGCCAAGGACAATTTTTCTTTGGTTTTTCCTGGCAATAAGAAAGACAATTTTCTAAAAAATTACAATTTCCATAAAAAACGTGAAAAAAATACAGAAATTAATGAGTGGCTGTAGTGGTCACACGGGGAGTGTGTGGCTCCGGCGGTCATCCAAGTTAAGCAGCGTTCAGTCTGCCCAGTCCTTGGATGGGTGTCCGCTTAGGCACACCTAACCATGTGGGACTACAGTCGCTAAGCACGAATGTAGAGAATCACTGTGTCCATTGATCACACTGACTCAATGGACACAGTGGAATCCCTGCATTATCGGCCGGCTGTACGACTGGAGTTTTCCATGGTTTCCCTTGCAGTCCTAGCCCGAATGGGGTACAGTTAAGAGTAAGACGGAACATGGTAACGCAGAAAAAATCAGACGAGAGAAGTGGGAAAGGCAAGGCAGACGAATGGGGGGGAGCCTATAAAACCGTAATGGTAGTAGGAAAGAAATATAGATAAAAAATGAAAAAAAAAAATACAGAAATCAATGAAAATAAGCCAACTCAGAGTTCAATAAACAATCAGTAAAGATGGAACGAACGTCCTTGGCTCGGATTTTTGGCAATCACTCCCTAATATTAATTTAATGTTCCATGTTCTGACCTGCGACAAGGACGTTGGTTCTATCTTTACTGATTTTTTATTGAGCCCTAAGATTGGTTTCTGTATTTTTGCAAGTTTTTTATGAACTAAAGCATAAATTAATGATCATTAAAATGGAAGAATTGAATAATTCAGAAACCTGATTATTGTTTCTACTTGTTTTCCCGGTGGGGGAGTGGGAAGAGCCGAATCGCACGGTATACGGGAACCGCCAGAAAAAGTCAGGTAAGAGGGTGAAATTATTGAAAAAAGATAAAACAAGTAAAATAATTGATAATTAAAAATCTCTAACGAAAAAATTGTAAATTGACTAACTTGAAAAGGGAGAAATAAAAACGGACTAAATTTCGCAGAGCTTAATTGAAAGATAAAAATAATGAACCCTAAAGTCATAATACAATTCTTATTCAACATGGAAGATTTAGACAAATGAAGGAAAGCCGCAGAGTAACCGGAGTGAACTCAATTGCCAATTCACAAGTATCGCATCATAGTCAGTTCAAATAGCATGCATCACATACACATGGGCGGAATCAACACGAACTCAATTGTTCGATGTTAACGCCGTTTACTAAATGCATATCGCCAGATATTCTTGAATTAGGTTTATCTTCACCGCCTTTAACCACTGAATTGCTTTCAATAATAATCTTGTGTCCAATATACATATATTTTGAAGGGTAATGAATTCTGTGAAAATGCCAATAAATGAAAATGAATGTAAATTTTTCATATATGTATCAAATATGGATGTGTCTGACCTAATCAATTCGAGCCTGTTACGTAAAATAGATTCCGCATTCATAGGTCCGTGAATCTTACAGACGTGTGCTGTTGTTTATTATTTGTGGACGTCCGCATGAAAAGGGACCACTTTGTCTATATGGAGTTTTTTTTATCGTTATTTTACATCACTTCGACCCGGTTAGGGCATGCTGCGATGATGATCAAGACTTTAGGAGGTTAGTCTGGCATAATGGGTTAATAATTTCGATTTTTGTTTTATGTTTTCGCCTAGCTATATTCTTTAAGAGTATTTCGGTCGAAATTTCACATTGATATCTCAAAAATTATCGATGCTATGGGTATTTCAATACAACGCCTATGAATGGAACGGTCTCTGGGCCGTCCCAGCCCGCGCTGCGCGGTTCTGAGACATCCCCAAGACACAGGTACTTCGTCCTCTAAGGTCACTCACCTGTCGAATTTTACCATCATTTCCTCATTACCTCTATCCCTTTATTATCCTCGAAATTTCACTTTTCAATTATGGCTTTCCTAGGTGTAATTGACGAGAATTTAAATAACAGAATTTTGAGCGGCCGTAGTGTCTAGATTTTAGTGAGGGTTTTTAGTTGTTGATTTTTATTGGCCTTATATACGAAATGATGCTCCGAAATGAATTGCACTTGTAGGTAAAATTGACGGAAATTTTGATGTCAGAATTTTCCGAGCCCCAGTCGTGTCTAGTATTTAGTGGAGAGCAAAACAACTTTTTAAAATGAAACCTGGTATTGGCAAGGGGAGTCGAGTTAGTAATTGGCGGGCATGTAGACCCAAAAAGGGAATCTATCATCCCCCTAAAACTGTTAACACGAGTAGTGAATCAGCTGATAGTAGTACATCAGGTGAAAAGTTGAAAGATAGAGATTATGACTCCATCAAAATGGATCCTGTGCATAACAATAGAATTATCGATTTTTCCTGTTTTCACATTACTTAGCGGAATTCTTGTCTGTGGAACTTGTCGCGGTATTCCGAAATTTGGTGCCGACGATGACCAGGGTTTGGGATTTTAAATAGTGGTGAATTGTCAATGTGGTCAACGAAAAATTGCGTCAGGTCCATTAGTGAAGAAACAATTTGAAATTAATATTAGAATTATTTTTGCGATGCGTTGGATGGAATTAGGCTTAGAAAAGGTGAATATGTTTTGCGGTTTGATGAGTCTTTACCTTGGATTTTGCAAAGTTCGTATTATTAGGTGTGTGACTTAATTTTTACAGATTTTTCAGTTAATTTATTTTCATCACTGAGTCCCGCTAACCTGCACCTATCGGCCTGTTCTGCGGCCGATAAGTGGCGATTAGCAGTCATGGACTTGATAAAGAGGAACGGCTGACTTCATGTCGTGTTTTAGCGCTCCTAGACTCGTTAAATATCCAACCTCAAACCAGCTGTTTCACACTACCCCTGTTCCTCATTCCTCCATCTTGTTCTTTATGCTTTCCACACATTCACCATCGAAAATTTTCTGTTATCCAATTTTCATTAGAATCATCCTTTTAGACAGAGAATTTCCGATTCAATCATTATCATCACTTTTCACGTTTGTTCTGTTTTTTTATTCAGTGAGGAGAAGCGAGGGGGAGGTGGGCTTCATAAAAAATTTGCGAAATTTGTATCCAAGAATGAAGAAATGAAAAATCTATGGACTTTTTTCTATTAAATATTTTTTTAGGAATACGAGATGGTAAAATTGCATGATCTCCGATAGAATTAGCATAACAAATCAATAGAATTTTCACAAAACTCCAATAGAGTTTTTTCAAGGGTTCCAATATGAATTCAGTAGAATTTTTCTATGGAAATACTAGGTTTTTGTAGTATCTTTCTTATACCTAACTTTTATTGAACAGTGGACATACTCGGGATTGGGCAGATAAATAGGGATATATTTGGATAATTAATAATTGCAGGTTTTGCTAACATTAATGTACTATCTATATTGAATATTGTAACATGATAAAAATCATGTACTGTTCCTCGCCTGAACTGACCGCGGATCATGGGGGGGAAATTAGTCGTTTACCCCAGCGAGGAGTCGGATCACCCAGAGCCACAACTGTCACTTTATTTTTATTTTTTTTTATTTGACTATTTTCCTTCTGTCCATCATTCTATCGAACTCGGTCGATCGCGCTCACCGTGGATTACGTGAGCTTCGAGACGAGGGGAGTGGAGCGGAGCCTCGGGGAGAGCTACAAGACGGCGCGATATCTGAGGAGCAGCACACCGACGAGCACGCACACACCGAGTCTGGGAGACTCACACCACGGAGGACGCGAAAGACGATCGTCGCACGCCAGCAGGCATCTCAGGCCTCTACGTGCGAACCCCCACCACCTCACCGATGGATCGGCGGCACAAGGCCGTCCAGTAAAAAACCGATGTTACAGCATTGAGGGAGCATCGGATTATGTTGGCTTCTGCGCCGCTCAACGCGGATCACATCCACCGACCGCGAGGCGCAAGTTCCAGTTTCGGGGCCTGAGGAATTGGGAATTAGGACCATTTTAAAATGCGAAAGTCCAAAATTGTCGAATCACTTGGATTCTTCGCGCTTATCACGTGATCGGGTGGGGGTAGGAGAAATTGAGAGGTTCCTCGGGGCGATGTACGGCCCCGACGAACACTCTTCGCTGGGGTTCAGCCATATTAAGTCGCTCTGCGCAATTAAAGTTTTATTATGCTCTTTGAGCTTCTTTAAATTGTTAAAACAATTATTACTTTGGTGTGCCTGGATTTTCCGGCCTTTTCCTGACGTCGCCGTACTGAGGGTCCAGATGAGTTTACCCTGGAGTTTCTCGCGTATCAAACGGTGAGCGTGATTTAAGTTGTGAGTACTCGCGTAGTTTTTCGATTCATTTCTCCGGTGGCCATTTTGGACACCGTTTGAGTGTTAAAATTCGAGCCTTTTGCCTTCGGGACGCGGCACTCAGTGGCCTGTGGCCTCATTTCTTTATTTCCAGTAGTAAATATTAATTATTTCCTTCATATTGTTGCCGTTGATCGGTTTTGACTTTGGAACTTTGTTCAATTTCTTCATTCGTGTGGCTCTCGCATCGTCGTCGCTTGCGGGTGATCCTCGCGTCTTAGCGTCTCCCACGCGTCTTTAAAGTTATTACTACTTCTTTTCGTTAATTAGTATCACTAGGTTAGTTACATTTTTTTTGGTTTGTATAGCGTCTTTGCTCGCGGGAGTCCTCTCCCGCACGTGTACAGAATCCTACGCTAATTCTCGTATGGACGAGTAAAAGATCACACTTAATTATGATTTGAAAATATAATTTTTTTTTGTGTTTTATAAATAATTGCATTGTTGAGTACGCTCATTGTAGCCTGTTTCCACACGCCTCCGCGGTTATCTGAGCTAGTCGTGGAACGCGGCTCAACGGTGTGACCTTGTCCTTTGGCGGTTAAAAGGACTGGCGCCCTTTTTGGCATTTTGTCTCCTCTCGTTATTCCCATCGTTCTAATTCCGGGTTGAGAGAGTCCAAAAGGTTCGCTGAAAGTTCGTGGAGAACCACGCGTCTGAATCCCGCAGACGCGCTTGGAAAAATACCTCACAATATATATCGTACAGCGCCTCATTTAGCAAATCAGGTTATTGATATGATCAGATAGTAATATAGAAATTACTAATATCACGACACTCCCACTTAATTTCTGTTTTACACGATGACATTAATTTGATTATTCTGTCAACGGGTTTACTCCGATAAGTTCCCCGTTTTACCCCGATAAATTTTTCGAAGATCGTTCTGGGTAGAGGCTTCGTGAATATATCTGCGAGTTGGTCCCCAGTCCAGATGTAGTCCACAGTGAATTGTTTGGCGTTATATTTCTCACAGATGGTTTTGTACTTTACATCCACGTGTTTGCCTGAAGATTGGAAGAGCCCATTTTTTATCCACTGAATGGAGCTCTGGTTGTCGATGTAGAGGTGGGGTACCAGCTGATGTCCTGGCGTCAGTTCGTTGATGAAGGTGGTCGTCCAAGTGCAGACATTCATTCCCAATGAGCAAGATAAAGTTCCGGAAACGTTTTGAGAACGTCTCGAGATGATCTGAAAATGTAAGAAGGACGTTCCCAAAAACGTCCCCGAAACGTATTTTTTGGAAAATACAGGGTTTTTTTACGTTCAGGAAACGTTCGTCCGGAACGTTCGAAACGTTCACAGAACCTACCATGAACGTTGAAGAAATTACGGAATTTTCGGAATGTTTCACTTAGGTCTCGATGACGTTTCAATGATACTTATCAAATGAAGTTTGAACGTTCTCGAGACGTTCGATCTTTTACGTCATTCATGGGACGTCTCACGGATGTGTCGCGAACATTTTCCTGAGACAACATATGTCTCATCTGAACGTTCAGCGAACGTTCAACGTAATCTATATGTAATGTTCACTTGAAACGTTCCTCACACATACTTCAATCGTGTAATGGACGTGCACCGGACCTCCTCCGGTACGTCATTGAAATTGAAATTGTAGGCTGGGCGTTTATTTTATTATTTTAGTTATTCTGTAATCTCCTTCGTAATTCACGAAAATCAAACATACATTTTTATGGTACAATTTCTAAATAGTTTATTAATATAGAAATGCTCTGAAATTGTTGACGTAAATATGAATTTCGTTGATAATCTACTTTTTTATACTATATACATGTGCGTACATTATATATACATATATAAACTATATAAATATCAAGAAACAGGACCATAGTCATCGGGACCTGGTTTTGAAGAGAGAGTGTCGATGGAAAAGCGTACTACTGATTCTTCTTCCACAACTTTTATCGCAGACTATGTGAAACCTTCATCAACTGGTCAGACTATGGACAAAATTGGAACAATAACAACATCGATAAAGAAGGGTAGCAGCGCTCCTCCTGTTGTGACTTCTATCGCACACGATACAACACCTGAATCGAGCAGAAAGACAATTGAAGTATTTCAAAGTACAACACCAAAATTCATATCGTCAAACCATGGGAATGCAGCCAATGATGGAGTTTCGAGAGTGAAAGTGATTGATTGTGAGGGTGTAAATATATTTGCACTCATTGGTTCATGTAGCCATATCACAACACAAATTTTTGTGGCAGGCATAATTTTATTTCCCCTCCTATTGTTTTTTGTGTTGTGTCTCGTCTGTAGTGATAATTTTCTCTCACAGACCCATGATAATATTGAAGTTGCTGACTTTTAGTTGTCCCCATCATATGAGTGCTTATTTATTGTCTATGAAATTCTATGTACTATGTTATCTTTCTTAAAATATATTTTTTTTGTGTATTTTATGAGTGTAGTGTATCATTGTTGGGGAACAAAGAGAAAATGGAGAAAAATAAAGTGCGAATTAGTTTTCACACTATTCGAGAACCGCACGGACACGCTTATACTCCCATGAGTGTTTACAGTGGGACCCCTGCTGATAGCGACCCAATACTCGTTCCCCTCCAGTCGGTGCCAGCTACGTCCAGTGGATGTATTGTATACGTATTGTATACATTTTTAATTATCGTTCTGTCTGTACATGATTATTTGAATGTTTGAAAGCAAAGGACAAAAGGCCTGTCCGCACCGACCTGGTAGTTTTTGTAATTTTATGGAGGTTTGGGTATGCTCTGTTCCTTACGCATTGGCATTTGTTCCAGGTATTTTTCCAATGCAGTTACTCCCTCTCCTCACGGCTCAGTTACCCTATAAATAGGGCAGAGATGGCAAGAAATATTGTCAGTCTTACACGGATTTCTTATCGTAACACTCCTGTTGACAGTTCGACACCAATATTGGTATTATATAATCATTAACAATGGCGTCAACGAAAATGGCAGCTGCATCTCGTTTGGAGTACAATCCCAAAATGTAAGTTATTTCATAGTTACAAATTATTTTGAGGATGAACTATAAAGCCTAGCCATAGTGCAATTTTTTCATGTTTTTTTTTTGTTCACAGATCATTCTCTCTGGTTGAGTGTACGAAGGGTGCAAGGTTGAAGACGATGATTATGCCTCACCGATGGTTGTTTGAGGAAGAGGAACAGTGATTCTGTTATTGGCCTCCTCTAATATACACTGAACGAGAAATTAAAAAAGCCATCCGAGCTGGAGATGAACCGGAAGTGAAAAAATGGAGAGAATATCCAGTCAAAGTGTATTACACTGGTAATGCGGCAGGATGTGAGCTCAAGGAAAAGCAGCTGATTGAACAGGGGAGTGATGTTTTCAATAAGAAGGATGCAGACGATTCGGAAGAAGAGGTGAATGATGAAACTCAACTGAGTGGCGAACGATCACCCGAGAAGACAACCGATCAACCCAGCTACTCTTCGCCTACATCTGAAGGAAGGTCTGAACCTCAGCCTATGACATCATCGAGGATTTTGAAGAAAAACAAAAAGAAAATCAGGAATGGGGGACAGAAGAGAACGGGCAAGCTTCAGCGATGCGGTAATTGCTTAAAAGAAATCAGACGGTTCCAACAACGATGGAAATACCAGGAGAAAGTAAATAGGAAGTTGAATGAGAAAATGCTGAAAATGATGATGGACATCCAAGCCAGGTTCCAAGCGAATGCCACAACTGGCAGTAACGTCGTTGCAACTCTGAAAATCGGTAACGTTGCCACTCCCCTCCAAACGATCGAAGAGCTGGAGCAGGTGGAAGCCATGTTGGACGAAGAGAAGTGTGACACAATCAGAGGATACTTGAAATTTAAAAAGAGGGGATGCTGCCAAACAACTGCAAAGGCCATAATGGAAGCCATGATGTCAAACACGCTGATGGCAAAATTGAATTGGGAAGGAAAGAAACCTGGAAAGATTGGGTTGAAAAAAATTGCTCCGAAACTGGAAAAAGCAATCTTGGATGGAGCGATTCTAGCTGTGAACAATGTATGGCTAGAGAATGAACTCAAGCATCATCTGATGAGAACAGTGGTACGAGCGGGTATAACACCGAAGGGAGCCAACGCGAACCCTCAAGAGCCAATGATATGATATGATATGATGCACGAAAAAATAATTTGAATGTAAAAAAAAATAATTTCATGATTAAATGAATAAAAAATTTCTTCTTTACAAAATTGATTCTGAATTTTCTTGAAAGAATGTTTTCTTCGTGAAGAAAAAAAATTATATTTAATTCAAAATACATTGGAAAGTCATTAATCGGTTGTAACCCAACTATACAGAAAGAAATTTTGGATAAGAATTACCCTTCCGTTAGATAGTTGGAAGTTCCATAATAGTAGATACCGTCCCAATGAGCAAAATAAGGTTCCGGAAACGTTTTGAGAACGTCTCGAGATGATCAATTGCTTGACACGCTGCGATAAACTCAGCTTCACTTGTGGACTGTGAGACATTTCGTTGTTTTTTGATTCCCCACAGAATTGGAGACCCATTGTATTTTACCAGGTAACCTGAAGTTGAGCGTCTGGTGCTGATGTCTTCTGCGTGATCAGCATCGGAGTTAGCTTCCAGACCCTTCAGACGATTGTTACTGCTGAGTATGATTCCATAGCCGAGAGTCCCTTTGAGGTATTTTAGGACTCCTTTGACGGCGTTCCAGTGGACTTTCCGAGGATTCGTCGAGTGTTTGCTCAGTGCGTGGACAGCAAACGTGATATTTGGTCACGTCATCATTGACAAAAACTGTAGGCACCCTACCGCTTCTCGATAGAGGACATTCAGCTTATCTTCATGTTCATCAACTGATTTGAACATGACAGGTTTTGATGACTGTCAGCAGGGATGCTGACTGGGCTTGCTACAGCCATGTGAAATCTCTGGAGGATTTTCTCGGTGTAGAATGTCTGGTGAAGAAGGAGAGAACCATCTACCTGCCTACCAACTTGAAGGCCCAGGAATACGTCCAGGGGATCAGTATTAATTTTTATTTCCTTCTCCAGGTGGCTGATCAGGGCTGAGATACGTTCCTTACTCTTCGAGGCCACGAGTCCATCATCGACATATAGAGCCAATATTAGCTGCTCTTGATCGTCGTGCGAAATGAAGACACATGGCTCCACTGATGTACTCTTCATGTTGAAGCGTTCCAGACATTGTGTGAATCTTTTATTCCAACAGCGTGGGGATTGTTTGAGTCCATATAGGCTTTTCTGCAATTTGCAGACTCTTCTAGAATTATCCTGAAAGCCTTCTGGCTGGTGCATGTATACGTTCTCTTCCAGTAGGCCATACAGGAATGCTATTTTCACGTCGAATCTCTTGGTGTGTAACTTGTCTGTTGCTATCTTGGTCAGTATGATTCTGAGAGTACCTGAACTCAACAGGACTGAAGGTTTCCTTATAGTCTACCTCCGCTTTGTGCTGGAACCCCTTGGCGACTAGGCGGGCTCTGTACCGTTTTTCTCCAGTAGGACTTTCCTTCAGTGTGAACACCCATCTGTTCTCCATAACGTTGGCAAGTCTGGGACGGTTGAAGAGTGTCCAGGTTTCGTTATCTTGCAGGGCCTTTCCTCCTTCATTGCCGTCCTCCAGTGTTCAGCTTCATTACTTTTCAGAGCTTCTTTGAATGTCAGGGGTTCAATGGACTGTAAAATGAGTGCTGTTTCATTGTCCTCATCACCTTCTTCCTCTATAGCTAATCTTCTAAGTCTCTGAGTTAGAGGAAGACTTGAGTCAGGGACAGGCCTTCGATTATCCACCTCAGGACTGTTTTGGTGAGGGGATGATTCAGATGAGCTTCGATGCTGCTCCGTCTCGGAGCTCTGCTGTTGAGGAGAAGAGGCTATTGTGATTATGTTGGAGTCGTTCCAGGGATCGTCAGGTTCGTCTTCCTCTTTTGGAGATCGTGGTGCTTCTGGGTCATCTGATTGCTGGCTTTTGTCGGAAAAGTCAGTGAGGGTTGTTCTAGCTGTTCCCACTATTTTCTTGCTCCTTTTCCTTGTAGAAATATCTGATTGGTGTGTGGATCTTGTGACGTCTCCTGGTGATGCGAATTTGACATCGCAGTGTACTTTGACCTTGAGTTTGTCTTGCAGCCAGATCCTGTAAACCTTGATTTCATCGCTGTAACCCACAAAGATGCCTTTTTGTGCCTTCACGTCTCATTTCCTTCTCTTTTGTTTTGGTACGTGGATAAAGACCTTGGATCCGAACATCTTGAGGTTGTTCAGCTAGGCCTTTTGGCCAGGCCACAGCTCATAAAGAGTTTTCCCTTCCACAGAACTCGTGTCAGAGCGATTTAACACGTAGACAGCTGTATTGACAGCCTCGGCCTAGAAGCTCTTGCACAGGTCTGCTTCGTATAGCATAGTTCGAGCGGCTTCGACTTCTGTCCTGTTATCCCTCTCTATTTTGCCAATTTGTTCTGATGTATGTGGCACGGAGTTTTGGTGTTTGATTCCTCGTTCTCTGAGAATTTGGTTTACTTCCTTGTTGAGAAATTCCAACCCTTGGTCAGTTCGGAGTGTGTCAATTGGCTTGTTGGTCTCCTTTTCCGCCCTCAATAGTGTATACCTCAAAAAGTCGGCAGTTTCGTTTTTATTTTTCAGGAAATGAACATACCTGAAGTGAGAGAAGTCATCTTTGATTTGCAGGTAGTAATTGGCACTACCAAGGGACTTGGTCTCCATGGGTCCACAGAGATCCGCATGTAGGATTTCGCCGATTCTCGTAGATTTTGATAAACTTGGTGGGTGAGGTATTCTGCTCATTTTCCCCATGGTGCATGACTCACAATCCTGTCGAATTCCTTTGGATTCGATATTATGTGTTTAGTACCTTTTCAACATGGGCGATGTGTTGATGAGCGAGTCGACTGTGCCAATCCATCAGTGATGACACTAGAGCTGTCCCAGAGGGTTGAGATGGGTTGGAGGCACTCGAGTCTGTTTTTATCCTCATTTTGAAGAGGCTCTCTCCAACTCCTCTGTCACCGACGAGTTCTATTTTGCCATTTCTCTTGAACCAACATGTATGCTTGTTGGATTCTTTAGTGAGACCTTTATCCAGGGTAGCACCGAGTGAGAAGAGATTGAACTTGATTTTTGGAGCATACCAGGCGGCCTTTAGGTGTTTGTAAGTCCATTTTTCACCATCATGGGCTTGGATGTTGATGTCGCCTTGATCAATGGCTTCGATGATCTTTCCATTCCCCATTTTAATCAGGACAGGGACCTCCAGCTTCGTTAGAGTTGTGAACCACTTTTTTCTTCCAGTAATGTGATTGGATGCTGCTGAATCCAGGTACCAATGTTGAGCAGATATTTTCGATGAGACTTCTGATAGAGTGAGAGCAGTCGAGATGAAGGCCTCTTTTCTTGGTTGATGAGACTTCCCTTTGTCACTGGCGTACCTCTTGGACAGTTCCTCCAGTTTAGTACGACATTCGTACTCCCAGTGACCCTCCTTTTCACAGTAGTTGCACTTTCCTGGTTTCTTTCGTTGATCCGAATCTCTCCTCGTTTTTGCTGAGTCGCCCTTGTAGGAACGATGATGACGAGGTCTGGACTTGCTGACCAGGGCACTGGCAACGTCCTGGGTTGGTTCATCTTCTGACCTCGTTTCCTCGACTGTTAGATGGGATATCAGGTTCGCGAGTGTGCGTTCCTCAACCGTAGTGGACTCCCAAACTGCGAAAATATTTGTACGTGGGTGGCAGAGTCATAATAATCTTAGTCATTATCATGTTATTCGAAACTGACGCACCCAGTAATTTCAAACGATGGGCGAGATCTTGCACCTTGGCGATGTGGAGCCCTATGCTGTTTTCCGGATCCTTGGTTTTACTAAACCACTGTTATTGTAGGAGGTGGATGCTGGTTTCATTTTTACTCTCGTACAGGCCCATTAGCGTTTCCCACATCTGTTGTGACGTCTCACACTGCATTACATGGAGTATTATCTGCTCAGTCAACGTGTTTACGATTTGTTTCTGAGCTTTACCTTCCGTTTTCATCCAGCTTCGGAGCTCAGATATGTGTGCGGCGATTGCTACTGGTTCAGTTTCAGTGACAGGTACTGGACGAGGATTGGAGCCATCCACGTGTCTAGGACGTCTATTGCCATTGAATTCACTCTTGTTTGGAAACTCCATCTCGCCCAGACACCGTTGCCTCTTAATTTAATTAATTTTTGAGATTCTTGATCGTCTTTATCCATCTCGTCGGGTGGTGTTGCACTTTTGCACGTGGCTCGGCTAACCTCGACAGGCGGATTCTTGACCTATCTCAATTTTCCACTTTTTCGCCTTTTAATTCGCGAAAATATAAATCTCCCAATTTCGAGTATCGAGGGCTGGGCCCATAACTTTTTATTGATTAGTGGACACACTCGGGATTGGGGGGATAAATAGGGATATATTTGGATAATTAATAATTGCAGGTTTTGCTACCATTAATGTACTATCTATATTGAATATATATCGTACAGCACCTCATTTAGCAAATCAGGATATTGACATGATGAGATGGTAATATAGAAATTACTAATATCACGACACTAACAAAAAGTACAAATTACTTCAATTTTTCTTTTTTTTTTCTTTTGTAAATTTTTTTTTTCAGTGGAGGGGGCTTCGCCCCCTGGACCCTCTTCTCCGCCCCCACCCCACTTCTCCTTTGCGGGACTTCGTGATAAAAAATAGATTAGGTCATTCGGACGATGGTCTCGGTTTGTGAGTCGTGTGAATTTGCAGCACTCCTCACAAACCTCGACCTATCGTCCTTATGACATAATCTACTATTAATATAAAAAAATAGAGAAAAACGAGCTTAATCTTGGAAATATTGTGCAGCGTTTTCTATGACCTTGCGCCATCTCTCAGGTAACATTCGAATGCCGTCGCGAAAGAAACTTGCAGGCTTCGAGGCGATAAAGTCATCGACGAATTTACGCACATCGTCCAGCGTTTTAAACTGTTTATGCACTGAGGCTTGCTGCATGGACCGGAAGAAGTGATAGTCAGATGGGGCCAAGTCTGGTGAATATGCCGCGTGTGGGAGAATTTCCCAGCCCAACGGGGAGATAATTTTCAGGGTTTCTTTTGCTGTGTGTGGTCGCGCGTTGTCCTGCAGCAAAATTACTTGCCTCGTACCACTACCAGTAAAAGGTCTCTTTTCCTCAATAGCATCACTGAATTTCACCAGTTGGTCCTGATAACGTTTAGCAGTGACGGTTTCCCCCTGTTCGAGAATCTCATAATAGATTACACCTTTGGAATTCCATCAAATATACAACAACATTTTTTATGCCACTCATGCCTGAAACCGACTGGATTACACACTCGACGCTTCGCGTCTCGTGTCTAATTCAGCCGGTTTCAGGCTTCGTGACATAAAATTTTGTTCAGTACTTGTAGGGAAATTTCGTCCTTAACGTGTGTGGTTACATCACTCGCCTTCGGCTCATGCTGTAAACCCCCACACACGTTAAAGACGAAATTGCTATGTTTTCCGCGCTCAATATCATAAGGATCCCGAAATGTAATTCTTGGAATACCACAGATATTCTACTCAATTCTTTAGTAGCAAGCGTAATTTCCTACGGTAGCGAAGTCTGGGGAACGTCTAATATGGAGGTCTTCAACACGATCGAAGCCAGTTTTCTAAAGAAAGCCACAGATCTTCCGTCAAACACACCTGCTTACGCGATCAGGCTAGAGACTGGTTGTCTTCCAGTAGCATGCAAAATCTTTAAACTTTCTCTCAATTGGCTCATGAAGATTCTGGAGATGGACACCTCCAGATTCCTCAGACTTAGTTTCGATAGACTACCTAAAATAAAAAACCACGAAATTAAATATAACTTAGATAAGAATTCAAAGGATCGACGATGGGGCCAAGCTTGGGGGAACCTTGTTTCTCTGAGACTCGGCAATATGAGTATCGATGCAGGCCTGAACCAGCCTTTGCATGTTGAGGCTGGGACATATCAGCCTCAGTGGAGGCTCAGTCGAGCCCAAACCCATTGAGCCTCAACAAACTAAGCTTATACTCAGACTTGGTCGAGGCTTGATCCATTTAGGCTATGTTAAGAGACCTTGGAGTACCCTCGGAAGACCTTGGATTTTCCAGGCTGCTTAGCCCAAGGCTCGAATCAGTATTGGCTTGGTAAGTATAACACATACCAAGCTGAACTCAGGCTTGGATAAGCCTCAGCACACTGAGCCTACAGAGAATAAGCTTATACTTAGGTTCAGTAGAGGCTGAATCCAGTGACCCGAAGATAAGGATCGTTCATACCAGACTGACCTTAAGCTTGAGTAAGCATCTTGACTGAGACCAAATGGACTAAGTCTATACTTTGATTCAAGCATCGCTTGATACAGTGATGCCAAGTTAAAAGCCTTTGAAATACTCTCGGGAGGGCCTGTTTTTAAAAAAATTTCTAGTTATTTTTCAGACTAATTTCACCTGGAGAGAACTATTAGTTTTGTGAATTCATCATGGTATTATGACTCAGTGATACAAGCTCGGAGCAGGCTTGATTTTAGCGTTCACTTCAGCCTAAAATGAGGGTGATAGATGGGGCTTTTGGGGAGCCTTAATTCAGGCTTAGTTCAGGCTTGGAGTATTGAGGCTGAATAGGGAAAGGCTCACCCAAGGCTACTTTCCAACCAATTGTTACCTTCCTCGTCAATAATTTCATATTTATCAACGAAGAAAAGTCTCTCTATCCAGTCAATAAGCATTACCGTGGGACCTGAACGAGGCCTGCGGCAGCCCTTGGCGAGAGAGGCTTCCTAAATTTCGGTGAAAAAAAATGGATTAATTAGTTTTTGATTCATTGATATATTGGAATAATGGTTGAAACGGAAAAACAAATATACTACACACCCAGTACTTCTTATACCAAAATGAAATTCTATACTTTAACAATTATCCAAATGGCCAAGTGGATAAGGCCTGGAACTAGAGATCAGAAACACTTAGGATCGAATCCCGGTGAGTACCATTTTTTTCATTCCTTTTGATAATGGACGTTATGGGATAATCAGCAATCGTTAAATAACACTAATAAACATAAATACTGAGATAATATTTTGAAAAACAATGATATTTGGTATTTCGAGGCTTGAATGAACCCTTCTTCCCAAGCCTCGTTAGAAGGCTGGAATTTGAGGCTTCAGCAAGCCGTGGGATTCGAGGCTTCGGTAGGCCTTTGATTCTAGGCTCTACCCCCTGTTATGATCCAAGGCTCTCCCAGGACTGAACTCATGGTCAACTTCAGCCTGAGTCCAGGCTTGTTTAGCCTTCGCTGAAACCTTGTAAAACCCTGTCCTCATCGTCAATTCCTACATGGGTAACTGGGCGATGCTGCTGAAACAATTGTTTGATATGTGTGAAATGAGCGAGTGTGGAACAATCTTGACGTCTCAAGTCTCTCTCTACAAAGTTTATCCACGGTTAAAAAATGTGAATCTCTCCTAGTGCAAGCCGATATCCAACGCGCATCGAAATCATCAAGTTCACTCTTTTATAAGATTGTATCTCGCGCAACTGAGATCCAGCGTTATCTCCTCTCAGATCTTCCCCATTATATGATTCAATGCTTTATGAACATTCGATTATTCAACATCTACTGCACGGGTTTGAAATTGGGTCCAGATTTTCTTCGACTAGACCAATTCTTAATCTGCCCAGTATGCCGCCTTTCTGGTCTAAGGTCTCTAAATATTAGAGATTAAAATATTTTGATCTGAGAGAGACTTCGCTTGGCTACTTCGATTTTGGCTAGATCTTTTATCAACGACGGACCTTATCAGAAAAAAAAAACTTTTCACTTTTTCCGTGAGGTGGTTCAGCTCACCTTAACCTCTAGGATGATCTGAGCTACCCACTTCATTTTTTCCAATCAAGTATTCTTACAAGCACTAGGTGGATCCGGTGCACTTGTATTGCTTGAATATTATTTTACTGTATACTATTTTAATGTCTGTACTTAGCACCCTAATCGTTGTTTTATGAAACTCTGTCATATGTATTATAATTACTTTTTCTTCTTACGAACTCCCCTCTGTAAGGGCTGTACTGCTCACACTTGGTTTTTTTTTAATAAATAAACTATTTTGATCTTCTATATTCATGATGTAACGCGGAACGATAGTGATAAATAAAAATTTATTCGATTTCTGTGAAGCGCATACATTCTGAGATTTAAGATTGAAAATAATTTACTTCTCCGAAGAAACAATGGTCTACATATTAGGGAATTTGTCTCTGCGTGCATGTATAGACAATCCGGTTTAAATATCTTTCCCGATTTTGTCCATTCTATTTATAAAAAATTAAATATTGGGGTTATCGACTTATCAACGTTTGAATGATGAAATTTCGATTAAATTGTTGTTATCGATTTAGAGACATGAAATTTTTTTTTACGAAAACGAAATTTGAAACTGGGTCAACGAGTTGGGAGGCAGACGCACTGAAGTCATCCAAAATGCGGCTTCGAACGCGGAGCAGTGGGCATTTATACAAATCCAGTGTCTTCACGATTCAGGCAAAGTTTCTCCGTTATATCGGAGTGTTGCACCCCCGAATGCAAAGATCTACCTCGTTTATGACACTTGTCAAATGTGGAGAAATTGAGAAAAATTGATAACCCACACCTCGAAACCCCTCCCCGTTAACCCTCCTGAACTGGGTAGATCTCTTACGTCTCACTTGCACTGCAGTGGCGCTCTATAGGTTGAGTAGCTGGCGGCGGCGCGCCGCTCTACGCGCCAGTTCAGGAGGGTTAAATAATTCAAGCCTGTTACGTAAAACAGATGTAGCAGTTATAAATTCGTGAATCTCAGAATCGTGTGCAGTCATTTTTTATCTTTGAATCAGTTAATATGAGAGCATTACTTCTCATTGTGCAAATTTTGAACCTATGCAGGTAAGAAGTTAAAACTTCATATTTGGATTGAATATTTCGATTGAATAGGACACATGAAAAATTATGTGAATTAATGCGAGTGATTGGATAAATGGGAATTGCTTCGCCCTAATATTTTGATTAAATGTGTGGAATTTAGATATATCTCTGCACATGATGAGGAATACCTAGAGTTTCCAGATGGATTTTCAATCGGTGTAGCCACCTCTGCTTTCCAAATAGAGGGTGCATGGAATGCTAGTGGCAAGAAGGAAAATATATGGGATCATCGGATGCATAATAATATAGCGTTGAGTTTAGATGGCGGAACAGCTGATGTGGCGTGTGACTCTTATCACAAATATAAAGAAGATGTACAATTAATCAAGAACATTGGTGTGAGTATTCTGAAGACTGGGAAGTCTGATGATTAATTGTTATTTTTATCTGCATGCAGAAGGATTTAATGAAAGCTCAGTACATATTGTAAAAATATTTTTGCTCACATTCCGGCTTCTTTATGATTTGGAACGCACAACATTGTTGAACTCGCTCATGAGAATTTCGAACAATTAACGTATGAATGTCAAAATTGTCATCGCATTTTTCTGAAATTGCGCATCTGAAATGAAGTATTGTTTCTCCTCAGAAAGGATAAAAGTGACGCATTATATTCTTGTTTGGACATTACTTTTTTCCTAGACATAATTTTTTCCCATGGTTAAGTTGTTTTTTTGCTTTCAAGATGAAACCTAATTTTTCTAAGTCATATAATTTGGTCCATGAGATATTATTGATTGAAGAGAGTACGGTTCCCCTACCTTGCTCTCTGACGTCTATTTTTTTAGGGTTAATTTTTTTTTTTATCAGTAGAGAGTCCTCGCTCCCTCCCCTCGATACACTTGTTGACTTTGGTCTCGGCACAAAATAGTATGTGATGTTCAGGTGATGAGAGACAAGTTATACCTCGTGAAAACCTTATACTCGTCATTATACTGACTGAAAAAATTACTTTTGTCAAAGATTCCTTGATACAAGAAAATCTTCTCTTGTCAATTTCCAGCATCGTGAAATTGCCAGGTAATGACTTTTGTGCTCACACTGAGAGAAAGAAGTCTTTCAACAGGATGAGATTCTTTTATCCCGAGAAAATTTTCAAGTGTTAGCTTAAGTCTTCCCATAAATTCATATAATTTGCGTCACATTTAGAATTCAATGGATTGTGAGAAATCAGACTTTACTGATCTGATTACTCAACATCTCCAACTAAGGAATTCTTGAAAGTGCTGATAAAATTTTTTTTAGATATAATGTAAACTACATAAGTTTATGAGAAGGACATCATTTCTAGCCTTGAGTGCTTAAAAATTCTCTTGGGACAAGAGAATTTCATCGAGTTGGAAAACTTTTTTTCTTAGTCTGAGAACGAAATTATTTATCTGGAAATTTCACGATTTTTAAAATTGACCGGAGAATATTTCCTTGTACTAAATAAACTTTCTTTGTCATATATCACATATCAGAGCTTATCAAATACACGGAGAGAAATATTCAAGAAAAATTACGGAACATTTCACGTAATCCGCAAGCGAGAATCGTTTTCAGTGAATTTCTACAGGAATATAAGAGAATAAATCTGAAACGTTCAGTAAATTTTCGGGTCTGTCACCGAAAAAATACGAAAAAGTCACGTAATTTTCCTGGAAGTTGTAAAATCTAACAGAAACTTCAAGACTTATTACGCCTCAGAACATGAAAATTCTTGGATGTTTAAGAATTTTTACGAAAAGTTCCGGAAAAATTACGGAACGTGTTGTTAAAATCTCCCCTTCACGGTGACTCATGGCTAGCCGTGAGGCGTCGGACGGATGAGTAATTTTTACGGAACAGATCGTAGAATTTACGTGACGATTGACACTTTTTATTGAATTTTACTTCGCTCCCAGAATACTTTTCTAAACGTAATTTTTACGTTTTTTTTCTGGTAATTTTTATTGAATATTTCTCTCCGTGTATCACAGCTTACATTACAGTCTACTATTTTACCATTGTCACATCTGACAACGTCTAACTTTTGATAGTAACCTACGCCCATTATGTTTCTTTCACGTTACAGTTTAATCATTATCGGTTCTCCATAAGTTGGTCACGAGTTTTGCCAAATGGCTCACCAGATGAAATTAACAAAGATGGAATCCAATATTATACGAATCTTATAAACGAATTGGTGAGCAATGGAATCAAACCTTTTGTGACACTCTATCACTTTGATGATGTGCAATCACTGATTGCAAGAACAGGAGGGTGGTCAAATGAATCAATGGTAGAATATTTTGCTGATTATGCCAGAGTCATGTTCCGAGAACTTGGGTCTAAAGTTAAATTCTGGTCTACGATCAATGAACCCGATATCTACTGCAAGTATTATGCTTATCTGAATGAAACTGCAGCCAACACAGGTAGTTATGTGCACAAATTATTACTCTCGGATGAAAAATATGTCCTAATCAAGTATATTTTGGTAATGTGGGTCGTGTTTGAAATGGTGCGAATAAATAATATTTATTATGCGAAGATAAAAGTTAATGAGAGTCCTGGCATATGATCAGCATCTACGATCTGTCAAGAGTCATGATTTTGAGGAAAATATGATTGAGGCAATCAAAGACCCGAAAGTTTCACAGAAAAGCCGTACGCAAATTCTCTTCTCAAGCAAATTTGTACACTGAGAGAAAAATTTTCTAATATCTAGACAATATTTACTTGAGAGAAGTAAATTATAGTCAATGGCGTAAATCTCGAAATGTTTGCGCATTACGGGACTCGAATAAATTCTCATTTATCACTATCGTTCCGCGTTACATCATAAATATATCACATATAAAAACATTGGAAGTGCATAAAATAATCATGAAAACAATAAATACTTGAAGATTGACAATTACGCGACTTGAGTGACTTCATTTGCCAACCAACTCCTACTTGAGTACGAAAATATTTTAAACTATGAGACTTGTCTCGGGCCACGTTAGTTGAAATACCTGGGAGAATTAAGCGATTGAAGAAAAATTATTCATCTCAAATGAATATGTTACAAATGTATTACAAATTTGTTGTCTCATTGTATGTTAAAAATTTGTTCTCAGTGTACAGTAAACATTTTTCTTTTAATATTGTACTGTACTGAGAGAAAAATTTATTAACAAAAATGATTACACCAAGTTACATAAAAAAGCAATTGCTCAATTGTTTTTTTAGGAGATAATATTCTTGAAACGATAAGAAGTTTGAAATAAGGAGATGGGGTTATCTCTTCTTTTTGAAATCATTGCAATTGATGTGACATTTTGGACATATGTGGATGTTTCATTGCCATGATTTCTACAGTAAGAATAAAACTTATTTTTGAGAAGAACGTCTTTACTTCCATCAAAGAACTCATGACTCAAAATTGACAAAAAAAAAAAAAATATCTTACACTGAGAAAAGAAAAACTTTCATCAGGAGATTTTGTACTTGTCCCAAAGACGAGGATAATTTGTTTATGACAAGAAAGTGATGTTTCAAACCAAGAAGAAATGCCGCGAGAGATGAGAGAAATGAGACGAGACGACACAAGACGAGATGAGAGACTGCGACAGAATTTTTCGACTCTCCAACGAGACGAGAAAATAGTATATTTCGTAACGAGTGCAAAAAAGTGTTTTTTGGCGAGAGGGAGGTTTCGCCTTCGGCTCGTGATATAATCCCACGAGCTAAAAAACATTTTTTCACGAGTTACGAACAATATTTTTCATCACAATGTGGCGGAAATTGGACTTTTAGGCACGCGGAGCGTGCCGAAAAGTTCACTTTTCGTCACAGCGTGATGAAATACAATTTTTGAAACACGTGCTTGGAAAAGTCCCTTTTCGTTTACAGATTTTTGTGTGAAAAGTGGCCCTTTTCGTTACTTTTAAAGTTGTAAACGAAAAGTAACTTTTCGTTTACGGGATTCATTTTTCGTTTACAACAGCTGAGTTTACAGTTACAAGTTTAGGGTTCACTTCTATGTCACCGTTTGAAAGATGGCAGCAGTCGGTACGTTTTCGACCAATCTAGTGTTGTTATTCCTGTAACTATGTGCGCCGCTACAAACATCGGTCTTCTGTCGGACTGAGGAGGGACAACGATTGTAGTGGGGATTGGGAAAAGTGGGGGTAAATTTGAGGACCACAATCTCCTCAGTTATACCATACTCGTCTTGACTGAATTACATCAGCCATACGGCAGCCATTACGTTTTAGTCGGTCGCCTCTCGGATTTCATGAAGCATTCCCTCGTCATCCTTCATGTTAGTCAAAACTTCAATCCCACAATAGGATGACTTTTCCAAACACTTATTTCAAAAAATAGTAAACGTTACACGTGTGAAAAAGGGGCAACGTTAAACTCGTGTGTTAATATTTTTAGGGAGAGTCGTAGGACACGCGCAGCCGAGCGATAGACGAGACGAGACAAGCCTTCGGCTCGACTCGTGCCCCCTCCGCTGGTCTTGTCGAGTCTAGCGCGAGACTGCGCCCGATCTACGACTCTCCCCAAAAACATTACCCCCCCCCCCCGAGTGGAAATTCTATTCAGGTCTCGATCAGAAACTGATCAAGTCCGATCAGAAATTCTGATCAGACATGTTACGCCTCTGCCTTAGGTTTTTCCACCAGGGTTTCTCGAGCCTTCCATCATTAGGCATTAATTAAATTAAATTTTTTCAGAGAAAAAATTAGTAACTTCCTAGCCGGGAATCGAACCCGGGACCTCCCAATGTCGCGTCGGGTGCTCTTACCATCTGAGCTACCAGGACACTTACGAATTTCACTCTCAAATTGACTCATACCCGAGTGGAAATTCTGTTCAGGTCTCGATCAGAAACTGATCAAGTCCGATCCGAAATTCTAATCAGGCATGTTACACCTCTGCCTTAGGTTTTTCCACTCGGGTTTCTCCGCCTTCCATCATTAGGCATTAATTAAATTTAATTTTTTGAGAGAAAAAATTAGTAACTTCCTAGCCGGGAATCGAACCCGGGACCTCCCAATGTCGCGTCGGGTGCTCTTACCATCTGAGCTACCAGG